ACTGCTAAAAGAATCAAGAGAGATCTTGGAGGAAGTGAAGCCAAAGTACTCTTTAGAGGCAAGGAAGCCACGCTTTATCTCACATACTTTGAGTATGTAGTTGGGGGGAGGGGGGCGGGCGGTAATCCTGAGAAAGGGACCTCATGCTTGGAAAGGTGGAGGGTCAGGAAAAGAAAGGAAGACCCTCAATGAGATGGACTGACGCGATGAATGCAACAACGTGTCAAAGATGGTGAGGACGGCACAGGATAGGACTGGGTTCAGATCTGTTGTTTGTAGGGCTGCTATGAGCACCCCAAACTGACAACTGTCAGGGAGCTCATCTTTCTCTTAACAAGCCACTGAGGGTATTTGAACCACTTGCCTTTAGATTGACAGTGCAACTTCTTACCCCTAGGCCACCAAAGTTCCCTATTATGGGTCTGGCCTTACAAATACCTGGCAAAAGAAGAGTTTTCTTTATGCTGTTGTCAATTTGGGGAAAAGCATATTTTATCATAAGCCTAACAAATTAATTGTTTTTCACACTTCATTGCCATGAGAAAAATCACCAGCAACCAGGTTAGCTACGATCTCAAAGGCCTTAAGCAGGGGAGAGAGTCTGGTGACTCAGGTTGGGTCAGAACTTGAACTTGGCAATGCTGGTCAAGGTGGTGACACCCAAGACAAAGCTTACAGAGAGGGGCAAAAATCACTCCTGCTCTGGGAGACATCATCACCGTGAAAATAAAACTGGTCCCCAGGACGCTCAGAGAACAACTGGAAAGAGGAAGGGAGCTTTTATCCAACAAATCACACAACCCAGGGCTTTTCAAATGCCAAATCCTGATCCTGGTCTTGGGCTGTAGGTTCTCCACGCGGACTTTGTCTTTTCACTGTTGTTCGGTGCCCTTGAGTTGGTTCCAGCCTTAGTGACCCGTGAACCAGAGAATGAAAGGCTGCCTGACCCTCCACCAGCCTCACAGCGGCCATTGTGCTGAGCCCACCACTGCAGCCGGCGAGTCAACCCACCCTGTGAAAGGTCGTCTTCTTCGTGGCTGGGCCTCTGCTTTTCCGAGCATGACATCCTTCTCAGGGAACTGGCTCCTGCTGGAAAGACACCTGAAGCGTGTGACACACAGTCCTGCCATCCTCATTTCTAAGGAGCACTTCGGCAGGCTTTCTTTCAAGACAGATTCTTTTGTTGTTCTTGTCTATGGTATAATATTTAATAGCCTTTGCCAACATCACAGTTCAAAGGCATCCATTCTTTGGCCCTTTTGACTCACTGTCCAAGTTTCACATGTGCAGGAGACTACTGAAAACACAATGGTGTGGGTCAGGTGCACCTTGGTCTTCAAGACATATTTGTCCTTTACCATTTTAAAGAGTCCTTTACGACAGATCTGACCAAAGTCAAATGTCATTCTTATTTCTTGACTTCCAGAGACACTGATTTTGGATCTAAAGAAAATGGAATCCTTGACAACTTCAATCTTTTCTCCATTTATCATGATGCTATTTATTGATGCAGTTGTGAGGACTTTTGTTTTCTTCATGTGGAGGTGTGATCCATACTGAAGGCTTTTTGATCTTTGATCTTCAGCACTAATGGCTTCGGCAAATAAGGCTGCGCCATCTGCACGCTGCCATGAAGATGTTGTCGCTAAGTCTTCCTCTAATACTGATGCCACATTCTTCTTCATACGGTCCAGCTTCTCAGATCATAGTCTCCCAACAAAAAGGCTTACCACCCATCTCCCATCCTGCAGTGGCTTGCATGTTTCTGGAATACTGGAAGCTACTGTTTCGCCTCTATTTTAAATATCAGCAAGGTCCTCACGAATGGTGGACAGGATTCAATGGAGCTTCCAAACCAGACAAATAGGAAGGAGGACTGATGATCTACTTCTCAAACAGCTGGTCAGTGAAAACCTTATGACAAGCAGTGGGGCACTGATAAACTGATGGAAGGCACTCAAAGTATAACTGGAGGAGAGCTGCCCCCTCAACGTACAGTCTACCTTAATGATGTTTGTTGTTATGTGCCATTGAGTTGCCTTTGACTCACAGCGACCCCTATGGACAACAGCCCTAAAGCCTGCTCTATCCTGTGCCAATCGCACTGCCTCCGACACCCTCCCCGCCCCCGTTACCCCAGTCACTGAATCAATCCACTTCATAGAAGGCCTTCCCCTCCTGCACTGTCCCTCCACCCTCCCAAGCATGACGTTACTCTCCAAAGACTGGTCCCTCCCTGCAACATGTCCACAGTATATCAGATGAAGCTTCAGTATCCTTGCCTCCAAGGAGCAGCCTGGTTTCACTCCCTTTGGGACAAACCTGTTTGTTCTCCTAGCCCCACAGCTCAAAGGCCTCAATTCTCCTTCTATCATCCCTAGTCACTGTCCAGCTCTCTGATGCATAGCAAGTGATTGCAAAGACCATGGCCCGGATCAGGTACACCTTAGTCTCCAGACTGACATTGTTGTTGACTTTCCCAATGCAATTCATCTTTTAATTTCCTAGCTGCTGGTACAACAGTGTAAAGCTTTCAGCAAAGTGCAATTTTTTCATTAAGATGACATTATTTTAGAACTACTGAGCATCTTCTGTAGCCATGAAAGACTCCTTAGAGACCAAGGACCCAATGTCAAATGAGAGTCCCTAATTGCAAGGATGTAATTGTCTTGGATTAAGAAGAGAAGAAATGAAAAAAAAAAAAGAAGAGAAGAAATGAACGGACGAGGCAGCAATGACATAGTGACACCAGGTGAGAGCTACCTGCACGCAGGTGTTACACAATTACAAAGTTCCTAGCATTGTGACAAGAATGAATTTGTGGATGGAGTCAGCAAGTGGACATGCTGGAAGGGTTGTGAGGAATGAGGTGACATGACTCCAGCCTAGTACCTGGGGAACAGGGCTATGTTAGGAAACGGGATCTTTCAAGATGTTATCAATTAGCATGTGGTCATAACTAGAGGACGTGGGTCTTAATTCAATCTGAGTTATGCCTGTAACACAGGAGAAGAAATGGAGGGAGAGACAGCCAGGGGGAGATGGGTTTGTAAGTCAAGGAATGCCAGAAAATGTCTGGGGCTCCCAGAAGATGGAAGAGGTGGGGGGCAGGGGGGGTGTCTTCTTTAGTAAACACGGAGAGCATGCCCCTGCCAATGATTACTGGAGGAATCTGAACTTCTAGCCCCAAGAAATGAGACCACACGTTTCTAATGTTGAATCCCATCTGCTTTGTGGTATTTTATGAATGCTTTCTTTATGAATGCTATCAAGTTTACACTGACTCATAACTAACCCTCCAGCATTATTTTGAAGTTTTAAACCACATGAGGAGAGATTGCCCATCTTTTTCCCCATGAAGCTCCTGGTGGATCTGAACCACTGGAGAGGCATGGCCTTAGATTAGCAGACCAACTTCCTACAGAATATGTGACCAGAGCTCTCCTTTGGTACATTAGCCTTAGAAAATACGGATGGCTGATGTGTAATGTGAAAGTCTGCTAACAAGAAAGTCATCCGTTCGAATCCACAAGCTGCTCCACAGAGGAAGGATGTGTGGTCTCCTCCTGTAAAGAGTTACTGCCTTGCAAATCCAATGGAGGCTGCTACAAGTCGTAATCCATTCAATGGTAGTGGAAGGGGAAAAGCAAGCTTTATTACTAGTATTCTTTTTACTTTGATAAGAGATTTAAGAACAAGACGTTTATACCTAAAGTCTGTTTGTATTTTGTTTGAAGTTATATGAATATGAAAATAATCTAAGTTCTACTAGCGAGACAAACTGTGAACTTGATCAAGACGACGGTGCATCACAGGGCAAGGTTTGATCTGTTGTTCACTGGGTCGCTATGAATTGTCATTGACTCAACAGCATCTAACAACAACTGGTAGATTCTGTGAGAATTTTTCTCTTTGCCAAGCTAGAGACTTATACAGTGGTACAAGGTCCCTTTTGTTTTAGCCTTGAGATATCTATGAGCTATGAAAAAAGTAAATAGTTTCTTTTATCAAAATTTACACAACTTTTTTGAGGAAGAGCCAAACTGCCTTCCAGAGTGGTGGTACCATTTCACAATCTCACCAACAAGGTATAACAGTTCCTATCTCACTATATCCTCTCCAGCATTTATTACTTGCTGTCCTGTTAAAATTTGCTGGAGTGAGATAGTATCTCATTCCTCAAAAAGCTGAACATAGAAATTCCATATGATCCAGCTATTCCAACTGCTTGAAATACACCCTGAGAGAGTGAGAACTGAGGCACAAACAGAGACTTGTACACCACTGTTTAGAGCAACGTTATTCACCATCACAAGGACATGGAAACAACCCAAATGTCCAAACCACAATCAAATGTACTGAGAAGTTATGGTACATATACACAATGGAATACTATACAGTACGCAGAAGCAATATTTTGTAAATGACTACCTAACTTGGGAAGCATTATGTTAAGTGAACTAACTCAGTCCCATATGGACACATACTGTATAAGACCATCATTGTAAAGTGAATATGAGTATCTATGGGGAGCAGAGGAGTGGGGGGAGCACAGGGGTGAGGATGGGCGGGGAGGCATTAATCATAGGGTTGCACAATTTGATGAGTAGAGGAGGTGGTGAAAGAAATGGGAAAGATCCGGTGTGGAAAAACAATGTATACAAACTTCGTAAATAAACCAGTATAAACTTTTAAAAAATTAATAAGATTTTTTAAAAAGCAAATTATTCCTTTTATAAAAATGTACACAACTAGGAAACCACACGGCCCTGCAATCATGTGCAAACCTCAAATCTACAACATTCGCTTGCAGACTTGCTTAGAAAGCCTTCTGGGATTCCACAGCGCTGTGGTCAGAGTGCCCACCCTGTACCAGGCCCACAAGTATTTGTGGGCTTCTGCGGCACACAGAACACTACACGGGGCCCTAGGGGCCCGGAAGAGGCAGAGAAGAAGGGCGTGAGGATGGGGCACAGCTTGTCCACAGAGCGAGCACTCACATGAAGAAGGGCATCAGCTGAATGAGCGTCTCCTTTCGGGGGCTGGCAGCAAACTCGGGGACCACCTGGATGACTTTGTTCATGACGCCACGCAGATAATTCTGGAGCTGCTTCCGCCGTTCCTCTACGAACTTGGCATCCTGGGAAAACAGGAAAACATGTGCGCTCAGACGTGCCTTCCTCACCTGGGGAAGTGAGGCACGGGCCCCAGAACAGACAATCATGAATCATCTACAGGGCCAGCGTGTGCTGAGTGACTGGCCCGTGAACGGACGCTCGCACTACGTGGTACTGAAGGGAGGAGAAGCGGGCCCATAAAAATCACTCCATTCTCAGGAGCTGGTGTTTGGCAGAGACTTAATCAACATGTGTTCAATGAATGAATGTTGTAAGTGCTTCAGTCTATTCATAGGATAGGAAAAAATAGCCAGAAGCACCTATAATATGCCAAGTGTGGTGTGGCGTGCTAGAGTAGGTAAAACAAAGAGCACAAATTGTCACTGTGTGTTCCCTGCAGAGGTCCCACGCCACTGGGGATAGGCCCAATGACCACGGTGGTCAATGTACAAGGATGACAAGTCATGTCCAATAAGGTTTGCCTTGGCCTTAACAGTATTCTTCAGAAATCTGAGTCACTTGCTACTATTAGAAAAAGAAATGTTGCTGATACACAAGTAGATATGCACCTTCTCTTAGGAAACCAGGAGAGGTGGCAGCAGTCTGTACTAGGCTGCAGGTGAAGGGGATTGGGTCCTCAAGTCAGGGCAATGGTACTCTCTGAGCCCCAGTCACCTCCCAGCATGGGCAAGGCCAGCCTCCTGGCATTCACCTGTGCACAGGAGCCTGGGCTTGGCTGAATGCTCTGCTGTTGCCATATTAATATGCATAGTGTTTTTTTGTTTTGTTTTGTTTTTTTAACAATGGACCTGTGCTTTCTTGTTGCCTAGGCCTGGGATGATGGAGCAGGCATTGCTGGAACCCATCTGCACTGGTGGACCCTAGCCAGCGAGGGGCCAGCAGAGGCCCCACCACAGGCAGGGATGAGTGAATGAGAGAGGGGCGGGAAGGGGCAACCACACCTCTCCCTTACAGCATTAGGGGCAGGAAAGCATTCGGACTCAAGTCACTGAACTAACAGGGAAACTGAGGCCAGAGAGGTATTGGGCATCCACCCTACAGACCTCAAACATGGGCTAGAGTCAGCCCTGTATCGTTCTGCCAGCTTTGGGAGGGACTCAGGGAGTTCCTAAACCCAGATGTCAGAGGTCACGTGTTCAGATGACATCTAAGACCCACCCGGAGTATGTCCCGCCTCTGACAATGTTCCCATAATGCTCCACGGTGGGTCCAGACATGGCTCCTTCTCAAGTGGGACCTTCTGAATGAGGGCTGACAGAATGAGCAAACACAAATGTAGGGTGCCTGGTTAAATGTGAATGTCAGGTGGACTCTGGTTTAATATATACATGCTCTATGCCACAAAACTCTTGATGTGTTATTTGGGACAGATGTTTACCAAAGACGTGTTTGCCAAACAGTGTCCTCTGTTGTGCCTGGCAGCCCTTCACAGGGGCCCAGGTGGGAGGACGGTCCACAGCACCTGTTGTGATCAGTGGTCCAAGGTCTTCTCACCCAAAGGGTGACGCCCTGAGCTGTCTCTGAGGCACCTTCCTCGAAGAGGGGGCAGCACTTGAACATGGCTCATGACCACCTCAATATGTCACGTCTAGCTCAGCTGAATGCCAGTGGCCAAGACTCCATGAAGACATCAGCCCAGAGAGTCTGGAGCCGTCCACCCGGAGCCTGGACTCTGCCCAGCCAAGCTGCACATCAGGCCCTCCGCCTCCAGCTCCACTGATGTCCCACCATCAGGCAGTTAGACTCCTTTGTATGATGTGGTTAAGATTCCAGGTTAGTGCCAAGTGGAGTTAATGAAATCTGGTTTTTAATCTGCACAAGAAACCCTCAAGGGCTGCTGAAGAGGCTCTGCTCCAGGAAGACGAGGAAGGAGCTAATCAACCCTGGGGGAACTTGAGATGTTTCTTTTTTGGGAAGAAGGGGAGATGCTCAAAATAGTCCAAACAACAAGGAGAGGCTGACGATGCTCTCATCACGCACGGGAGCCTGCTGGGGTCACCAACCTAGGGAAGGTGGGTATTGCCACGGTCAAGGGCACGGAGCCCATCTCTCAGAGGTTAAACTGTGTCCTCATCAAAATATGCCTCTTACATTTTGCTATATGTGAGATTATCATCTTACTTGAAAATCAAATTTTCTTTGTTATACTAATGAGATAGTATTGTTGTTAAGTGCTATCGAGTTGTAGACAACTCATAGCGACCCTATGAACGAAAGACCTAAACACTTGTATAACTTTCATCATTTTTCCAAGTTCATAGGGTGTCCAGAGGCAAGCTATTTATGGAGGTGGATGCCACTCCTGCTTCCAAGTTTGTTCTAATCGGGGAGCTCCACCAAACACTATCCACCATGGGTAACCATTCTCACATTTGACACATCATTGTCACAGTGTTTAGCATCACAGCAACCACGAATTACCTCTGTACAGCAAGTGGACAGACCAATGCTATGCTACTTAGAAGACGGTGTGACCAAAAACAATTAAAATCAGGCCCGAGAGCCGCAGATTAAAATCGCCCACCTTTGGCTTTCTATCCACTAGGCCAACATAAGTCTCTCACTGTTGTTTAGAGCAGACAAAAGTAAAAGCTATTGCCCTTGAGTTGGAAATGGCTCATAGACGAGCCCCAGTGGCTTTTCTGGAAGCTGTTAAGTTTCAGGGGAAGAGAATGCTCATTTTTCTCCTCAAGAGTGGCTGGTGCATTTGAACCATCACAGAGGTGAAATCTTTAGATTAGCAGCACAACACCCTTTTTGAGATAGGAAAGGTACAGATTAAGCATGAAGAATAGTTGGGGAATCATAGATTATATGCCGCATGGAGAATCTGAAGGAATCAAAGGGCAAGGACAGCCTCCCAGAGTCCACAGCCTTTTTCCAGAGCTGGAGCCTGAATGAGGATTCCTAGCCCCTAAATTGTGAGAAAATAAATTTATGTTTGCTAAAGCCTTCCACTTGTGTTATTTCTGTTATAGCAGCACTAGGAAACTAAGACATTACCCATGAGTGGCATCTGCCTGTCAACACTTGAATAGCAGCTCCTCCTACTCAAGTCCCAGAGAGCAACAGTGATCTACAGAGAGAGGTGGTTATGTCCTGGTAGATTTCCAGATCCTTTCCATGGGCTCATTCCACATGATGATCGGTCTCTGAAAACTCCAGTCACCAGATCTGGTCTCTGAGGCATTGGAAATCTGCTTTTCTCAACGTCCATGACTCTGAGACCAGAAGAAATAGATGGTGCCCAACTATCCAGTGGAGTTCTCTCAAAAGGATCGCAGTAGAAGATCCTAGATAGAGTGGGGGGATAAATGTGGAACAAAAATAAAAACACACAAAAAGGGCCAGACTTACTGGGCCAATAGAGACTGGTGGAATCCCCAAGCCTTTAATCATCCTTTGATCCTGGAACAAATCTCTCCCTTGTGGCTGAATTATTAGCCAAATAACAGTTCTATCAGGTGACAAATACCACGGAGGTGGCGACCATTCCTTACAATTAGCAATTATATATGATCAAAAGAGCACCTGCTCAAGGATAAAGCCTTGAAGTCAGATAGAGGATTAGTGGAAATAAGAATTACAGGGAGGGAATGGGAAAATGTGGTTCTTTAATTAATGTTATAAAACAAAGTATGTGTGAATGAGTGAACAGAAAAAAATTGCACATTTCCACTCAGACTACTATGGGAATCAAACAAATAGATAAACCAATAGATGCCAAAAAGAAAAGGAAAAGCTGCCTTTTGAGCTGAGAGGTGTGACTACAGCTCAGGTGGGCTGCAGGCCCAACCCTCCACCCGGGATAGGGGAAGGTGCTTATTCCACAGCAGAGCGCCCGCAAGACCATGAACTTGGCTTTATTACAGGTGCAAAGCTTTATTCACAGAGCCAGTGCCTGAGCTGCTGTTTCTAAGGGAATCATTATGAACTTGCTAATTGGAAAAAATGAGGAGAGAAATTCCTGTTATTGCCAATTTGAAAACTCTCACCAGAGATAATGGAGAGCAATGAATAGCCAGGCACGATGAAGCCTGGAGCAGCTCCTGAACACCATGGGGTCCCTTTTCCAAACATCTAATGGGTCTTTTCAGCAGAACTACACAGGCTATCTTCATGTGATTAACCTGTTGAGTGTTCTGTACCACTGAGTCGGAACCTCAGGCCTTTTGCTCATATATGTAGATATATGTTGGGCCATGTATTTAAATATCAGTTGGGCCTGAGGGTCTAGTGTTAATTTTGGAGGAACATTCTTCACAATTTTGCAGCACTCCTCTCTCAATTTGCTGCACTGAGGAAATCTGGGTTTGCTGTGATGCTGAACCTTGTGCCACTGGGGACAACTGCCATAATGGCTACCCAAGGTGGACAGTGTTTGGTGGAGATCCCAGTTTAAGACAGGTTTGGGAGCAGGAATGGCCTCAATTCCTAAACCACATGCCTCTGGAAACTCTTTGAACTGGGAGAAATGATGATAGGTATAGAAAAGCTTCATGCCTTTTGTTCATAGGGTCACTATGAGCTGTGCTCATTGAACAACATCTTAAAAAAGTACTTAGTCACCAGTATGGGGCTGGAATCCAGATTGGGAAGTTGTCTGGAGCAGAGATTACTCACCATTGGGAGTGAGTTGATGGTATTCGGCCTCCAATTGGAAAAAAAAAGACTGGTCAAACATTCTTCTAAGTGGTATAGCACTGGTCTGTCCCTTTGCTCTACAGAGGTAACTCATGGTGGCTGTGATTCTAAACACTGTGACACTGATGGGTCAAATGCCAAGACAAATTTGATGACAGAAGAAGAACAGATACCTGTAAATTGTGATGTTGGAGAGGAATACTAAATATATCCTAGACTCCCAAAAGAATAAGTCAGTCTGTCTTGGAGAAAGTGCAGCCATGGTGCTCCTTAGAGGCAAGGAAGGTGAAACTTTGTCTTAAATGTTTTGGTCATGTTGTCAGGAGGAGCCAGTATTTGAAAAAAAGACCTCATGCTG